CCCCCCCCCCCCCCCCCACCGGGTTTGATGCTGTGGAACTGAGCGTCTCAGCCTGACGGTGCTCGTGTCACTCCTCTATCCCCGGCGGGCCGGAGCCCTCCCCCTTCCCCAACCGTTTTGTTCCTCCTTTTTGCTTCGCCGTTCTCTCCGCTGCTGAGCGTGCACGTGCACGTGCGCGCGCGCGCACAGCAGCAGCAGCGGCAGCGGCAGGTGCCTCCTGGAGGGATGCGGTGTCACTTCAGTCGGGGCTTCTCATCCGTCTGCCTCCCTGTGAGCGCATCCAAACACACAGACGCACGGCAAACAAGAGCTCTGATATATGTCCTCTTCTTCTTCTTTTTTCCTCCCTCAAGCTCGTTGGCATTTCCCACTTCTTTCTCTTCTCCTTCACCTCTGACCTTTTCCCTCCTTCTGCCCGGGTCCTCTGCTCCTGGTTCTCCACCCTGTAAGCCCCCTGCTTCAGGTCCCGATGGACAAACAAATGAAATTAAAGGGAGGCAAAAGGAAACAGGTCACTTGGCAGTTTGGGCTTTCTGGACCTGAGGTTGACTTCCATCTCACCTTTTCCTCCTCACCGTCGCATCGGGCAGATTCAATTTAAGCCCGTTTTCCAGACCGAAATCCTGGAGGTTAACTCGGTTTGCAGCATCTGTTTTGTGACCCTGACACAAAGCCAACGGCTCTGACATCATCTGGAGAGTTTGCTGCTCTCCACAGAGTTCGAAAGCTCAGAGGAGCAAAGTTGAAGCTAGTTGAATCTGGGCTATCTTGAATCTGGGTTTGAGCTCATGTATAGTTAGTTTTTTTTTAGGCTAATTTTCCGAAATGAGGCCTGAAAACGAGCTGGTTAAGAGTTGTGGTTTGGTTTAAAGCGCACAGCCTCTAAATGGAAACGCTACATCTAAATGTCAGAAACTGTGAACCACATGGGTTTATGTGTGATTAAAATGAGTTATTTTAGTCTCTTTCTGACACGACAACATGACAACCATGATCATTTTTAATAAAAATACATCAAAACTGTGATAAATCGTCCCAAAACCGGACTAAATATAATAATAATAATCGCCTTTCCATCCAGACTCAGGAACAAACGCACAACGGGACCCTCCTCCATGACGACAACCAAAGCTCAGTTTGTTCAGCAACTCCACACATCAAACCCCCCCAGCAGACCTCCACCCCCCGCCCCCCCCCCCACCCATCCATACCTCCGTATCCCTGCAGGATGGGGAACTTATCCTCAGGCTTAGCCTCATCCTGGACCGTATTCTAACCTGTCCAGCGGTTTTCTGCTTCTGTTTGGCCTCTGGTCAGGTCTGGAGGCCAGAGCTTTATTTATTTTATTTACGGAGCTCAGATCTGGGTCATCCCTGTTGGGGAAAGTTGTGATGACTTTTGTTCTGGGTTTTAGAGCCGGGGGCCAGG